ACGACCACGTCACATTTGGCCGGTTCTGGATAACCAAAGACACCATGCCTTCACGCCAACCTTCGTATTGAACTGACTGTGAGCTATTGATGATGCGTCAACGATAGCCTTACACCACGGTTCTTTTGGTTTCCTCATGGTGTTTAGTCCCTTGTACCACCCTAAGCAAATATGCTCAAACATGCAAGCTTGGCGTTCCAGATTCTTGTACCACCCATGACTTTTACTCTCTGATCATACTAATTGACAGCTTTTAACTCAGCAGGATCCGAAATGTCATCTTCTTCAGGGGTGATCTAATCCACCGGTGTGCCCATGAACAACCAACAATCACAACTTCATGATGGCCGTCATCCACACCGGTATAGTTAGTTTCTAGAAAGTTTTCTTAGGGCCCATAATTATTGCTGTCTTCAGCGATGTCGCACATTTTGGGTTTAGATGTTGTTGTGTTGGTTTCTTTTAGTCTTCGCGATGTTAAAGATGCGTCACATCGAGTATACATAGTCGGTACTTGGCCACTGATACTGTAACCATGAGTGCTCGTCCCTAAGTCACGCGTATCCATCAAACCAGCGAATTGGTTTGATACTCCCGCAAAATACCGACCGACGAGAGCATCCGAAATTACGTTGATAGGATTGATCCGTGGTGGCCCCAATTCATGAACAGGGTATAAATCCCCCAATAGACAAAGCTCTGCTTCACTGTATTTGGAATTCATTACGAGGTTGCTAGAACCGCTCATCATTTTCAAAGGCTTACAAACCATACATAAAAATAAAACAAGATTACATCAAAACTCTATAAAAGGTCTGATCAAACGCAAGCGATGTGATGCTTCTGTAGTTGCACAAAGCCGATATCTTTAACCCAAGAACGCAAACGAAGTCCTCTAGCTACAGTATTGCGAATCTTTCTTTGGCTAGGAGCTACGTAAAAATATATTGAAATACATCTGAAATACATCGAATTTTGATACCATGCGGGATAATCAACACGAAGCAATGCTAATTATCTGTTATCGTCTAGCGACCTGCCAGAAAAAAGCAACAACACGCGTAATGTAGCTTTTCTAGTAGTCTGCTTCCCGTGTTGTGTATTTAAATATGCTCGTGTCAATGACCTCAAGATACGATAGAGCATATTCGCCAGGATCTCACTAGCCGCACTTGACGTATGCTCAACAATCGAATTCCAAGACAACTTTAGACCGTAAAACTTCCAAGTATCAAAACGTGTTCGGTAATCCATTTTTACTAGTAAGATCGCTGTGAGGCTCAAGTCGACAGCAAGCACTAGCAAGCAACAGACGTGGAAGACAAAAGAGACGTCATCCTTTATCTTGAGCTACGCAGCATAATCTCCTATTTGCATAGTGATTGTTAAGTCTTGATGTAGCGATAGCTTAACACTTCAAAAGCAGTCCCTCGTCCACCACACCTAAGATAAATGAATAAACAAAATGCCTGAGATCGAACTCACAATCTGTACTGTCAGCTTTACAAGAATGTTTTTATCGGTGAGTAGCAGTTTCCATCTTCTTAGCTCGTGATCAAGTGATAAAGCTAAAGATCTAAAGTGATTACAAGTTCCAGCCGCAGCACACACAGTAAACTCTCATTCATGGTGACGCACCTGTGGACGCCCGACGGAACCTCTGTAATGTAGGTTTGAACATCTACACATGCAATTGCCCCAGACCTATTTTAGCGAGACATCGTGAACCTCAGTCGCTGAATAATAAACTCTAGACTGAAAAGATTGTTGAAATATCTGAAGATTGGTTGAATGGTGGAGTCGCCACAATAAGTAGAAGCGATGTCACTGCTCTTCTTTTTGAGTAAAAGAAGGAACGATTATCAAATGCGGTATAATGGCCCGCCGAATCCGAGAGTAAAAGCTGTAATATGTTTATTCCACCACTTTTTGGCGTAAGAAGAGGCTATTTACTAGCCGGGAGAGAGAACGTTTCTATAACGGAAGACATTGTTACGCTCTGTCTTTTGATTTTTCTTCAAGAGCGTACATTGGCAAACAATTTAACGTTGTTCCCTTCACTTTTATGAACAATACTTTGGGTTTTATACCTTCGTATTATACCATATCTTGTAATGAAGATGTATTTAACGGTCTGGTCAAAACTCAAGCTATTCGCTTCATTTATCTACTTACTGACCGCACTCACGGGTGGAAAATTGATGACATGCTTGCTAATGGTGTCCACCTGCTGCCGCAACTGCCGAGGTTGATGCAGATGAGGTTGGTGAGAGACTATCAGACAGATTGATTAGTACGACAATGAAAATTTTGAAAAAGGACGACATAACGAGAAGACAAGGATCTCTTCCTTCCTCTGAAAGAATAAAAACGAAAGAGAAGTTTAATTAGAACTGCCAGCAAAGATTTGCCGAGTCCGAATACAAATTGCTGAATCCACTGTAGTGATTTTTCCGATGACAACAGTTTTTTTCGGTGTACCAGGTAACATAAGCCTGGTTGTCTAGCAAATTTCAGTAATGGATTCTTAAGCGATATACCCGCAAAACTAAAGACATCTCTACCTCATTGCAACCGTTGTGAGATCTGCAACCCTGCTGAAGAGCCCAACAATTTTTCAGTAGGTGTAGGTGGTCTACTTGGAAGACGACATAATTTTCCAGCCCTGCCATGTTGCGGGCAAATGCATTTTGCGGGGATGGAAATTGTCAGCTGCATCATCATTCAAGCGAAAAGTGGAGACCAAGCATATAAACTGTGTCATCAAAAAGCCTGATTAGAAAGAAGTTGAAGCTGCATTTTGCGATGACGCGGATCCATGTTTAAAATTTGCGAAGCCTCGCTAGAAGAGTGGGGGGAAACGTTAACATAAAGTTTAAAGCAGTTGTGCCAGAGCAACGGCAATTAAAATTGATAAAATCGATGTCGTCGAACTTTCAATTGGCCTCCACGAAAATTTGTTGAGTTTCCTAGGCTTTGCTGTGTCGACTGCGAATTGAACAGGTGATCGACACCGCAGTCGCGTAGATTGACCTATGTGGAAAGCCTTTGTAAGCTCGAGCCCGATTGCACCTTCGCTTCCGCTCCTAATAAAGCGCAATTTGTCCCAAAGGAATGCCTAGTCTCAATGACATACGTTGAAGGTGGAAGTTCGTGTCTTGTGATGATGGCCCCATTTGGAAAGAAAAGTCGACCAATGGAGAGGGAATCCCCTGGCTCGTCTATCACGAACGCTGCAAATTCGTCAATATATAGACTCTACATCACAGATAATCGCGCATTTGCTCTTTCGCATTTGATATCAGTAATCCGACCATTGTAAGTGTTAGCTCGCGCCGTCTTTCAGGACGTCGTCGCTTTTCTCGCCCCGACGTAGTATTTTTTAATTCATGAAATTTAATGAAGTACAATGATTCTTAATTAACGTACAAGAATGACCAGGATAACCAAAAATCTTATCGCCAACACAAAGAAAGCTTTAGGATATTATAGTCTCAAAAAGTATTTCATGGTGGGAATTCCATTTTGAAACTCACTATGGAAAAAATGAAGCACGGATAAAATGGATTGTGCGTATAGTATTTACTAATCTTCTAGTCACGATAAAAAATGGTGGCGAAAGGATGTATACAAGTAGTTAAGCGCTTTTGTTCTGCGTCGATTTTGAATTTCTTGTAAAAGTCACGACTTGAGAGTAAAATGGCAAACGAATGGCCTGTATAAAGCTAGCTTAAGTACGGCGAGGAAAGAAGTGGCCGGTCAATACTTTCCAACGCAGATGAAAGTTTCGGGCTCATGTTATACCACCATCGGGTTAGAGTGTATGGCTCTTTTTTGGCTACTCAAAAATTACTGTGGGTCTAATATCTCCTATACTAGACCTACATACTGCTGTTAGCGTCGATAAACC